TACCACTTCTTCAGGGACAGAAAACATTTTCTTCACACATTTTTACTTCATACACCAAGCAAAGCTCTCCTGCCCTCCCTTCTTCTGTGTCTCTGCCTTCGCTTTCCATTCACCAATATTTATCTCTCTCCTTCCATCTTTTAGTAGCAGGGATGCACTGTGAAACATGATTTTGGCTCAGTGTTCTACTGTCGAGCCTGCCTCATGAAACATATTAGAGATAGGAACAAATAAAGCGAAGAGCAGGACTAAGGTGGCTCTGTCTGGATTTATTTCTCTCTTCTGAGTCTTGCTTTCTGTTTTTTCTGTACCACAATGGCCTAAATCCAGCCACTTTTTAATGGGTAGACATCAGTGAGCCAGGGCTGCTCCATGAATCACAGGGAGCTGCAATTCTGCAGCACTGAAGACCATTTTCAAAACCAATCTCATGCACCATTTTTTTTCCTAATTAGAGGTAGTGTCTAGCCACATTTCTGCATTGCCAAGCGGGGGATGTGAGGCCAGGCCAGTGCAACCCACTGTTCTCAGCTGTGTCGTGCACCACTGCAAGCTGGAAGAAAATACAAAGGAAAAACACCATTACTTGATGCCTTCTTCCTTTTTCAAGAGATTTTGATGTGTCCCTGTATTGAACAGCTCTAAAGATCCCATGTTCTTGAAAATTACAGCTCTTAACTCTATTTTGTCTTCCTATGCAGTGGTTTGGGACAGAGACTACAAATATTTTATGATGCTAAAATGAGAGGAGGGATCAGAAGGTTACGAGCTACATTCAGAAGCTGCCCAGGCTGTTCCTTTGTGCCTTGGAGAAGGAGACTTGGAGGGCACAATTTTCTAATTTTACATCCCACAGAAGGGAAAGATAACCCTTCTGAAAAGAAACGGGACCTAAAATTTGGAGCACTATTATCTGCATTTGCCTCAGCATCTTTGTGTCTCGGTGTTGGCTGTGACTGGGGAACATGGGCAGATGGGAATTGGAGGTCATCACGGAAGGAGGGCTTCCTGACGCTCTCATTAAGTAGCACATACAAATTGTAGTGATTTGAAAAGACCAGCAAAAACTGGCTATTAGAGTCACTGGTATGAAGCTGCAAAGCAGCCACATATGGACAAAAACTTCTGCGTCACCAGTGACTGGAGCTCACACAACCCTATTCTTCAGCACAGATGCAATGAAAGGTTTGAGCTATTTTCATGTGGCAGAAAATTGGGGGCATTTACTGCTAGAAGCACAATAAGTGGCTCCCATTAACCAGTTTATGGGGTGAACTTCTGCACGTTCGTTCAAATTCATCTGCTTGGCAAATTGGGAGCATTCATTGGTTCATGAATCTCCAGCTCTGTGAATGAGACCAGCTGGGGACATCTGTGGGCAGGTTCCTTTTCTTTTTGAGCTGCAGACATTAGTTTAGTAAAGCATGAGCAGAGCCACAATACCAATCACTAGTGTGGAGTCATAAATTGTTTCTCTTAACGCCTCTGGAAACAGGGCATGCCAAATTGCTTTACAGCATATTTGTGATAACAGGCCTGAAGAAAATGCCATTTAAATACAATTTCCCACTGACATAGGAAAGGGATAAGGGAATGCATAAACTAAATAATTAACACCTCCTGGATGACTCCAGTTCTGTGTGTGGAAGGACAAGGGGGAAGTACATAGTGGGGTGTAAGGGGCCGGCTTTTCCTAGTAATAGTAAAACTTCATTTCCTCTTTAAGGAAAGGTCAGGATTTTATTAAACTGAATGCCAATTGGTTTCAATGGGGTTTGAATTGATTTCTGGAAACTACTACTGGTGAAAATTGCCAGGGAGAGCCCATTGAGACATCTTTACACCACTATGGCTGACTGGAGGTGGGGGTTGCTTTTCTGGAGTAACTTAAAACGTATCGGCATTATAAAGCGGAGAGAAAACTGCTGATTTCTAAGAAATGAGGTGCTTTTACAAATATTAAGCCAGATGTCTCATTTCTTACTTTTTAAAACTTCTTCTTGAGGCTCCCTGACTTCCCTGGAGCCCGTGCTCTTGTGTGGGGAGGGGAGGACGCAATCTGGGACATGAGGCCAGGGTTTCTGGCATCCTGTAATGTGTTTCTTCACTGAAGACGTGGTCTGTTGGAAAATTCCCAGTTAGCTCTAATGTCTGCAAACTCTGTTCACCACGAACAGCAGTATGGAGACTCCTCAGCGAACATTTACTCTTGGCTGTGGCTTCATCACAGCAGCTAGATTTTATTGTGAGCTGCATTGTGTGGCCACTTGTCTAATAGGTTCCGGATTGGCACCTTCTGTCATGTTGCACAAGGACCACTAAACATCACAATTTTGAAGCTTACTGATTTAGGTGCCAGGGAGTAAAGATGAGGTGTTTAAATACCTGTTTTTCAACAAGGCCCATCCTTCCAAACAATCACAGAGTGGTTATTAAGGAAGTATTTTATTCCCTCAACAGCAAAAGCTACAAGAGGCATGTTTAATGCACTTTCTTATTAATATTACTTCTTCTAGCAGGGAAATCTTGACAGCTTTTTATCAAACTCCCAACCCTTTTGACTTAGTAGAGATGAGATAAGGAGAGATCAGAGATGTCCTCCCAGGAGAACAGCTCACCCGCCAAGAAAACCCTTTCTTAAATTCCTGAACCATTGATGTCACATGCATTTGTAAATTACTCATTTGCTATGTACCTTATATCACATTTAATAACCCTTATTCTTCTGGTTAATGCTCTACCCATAGCCCTCCCTGTCATGCAGTGTCACCAGATACCTGGCATTGCCAAGCATTAGCATTGCAAATACCTTGGAAAACCCAGTCTCACTTCATTGCAGTCTTACAAGGCAATTTGTCATACAAATCTGTATCACATTGCACATTCAACATGTTAACACCCTCTAAGACTAATTGTTCTTCCTCTGTTAGTGGAAACAATATGCCCAGCCTTATGTTAAAGATGAAGCAAAACATACTGACTTAACTCTTATGCCTATGAGTGTCCTATTATTTTTTTGTCTTTGATGGAAAATGAGACAGAGAGTCCTTGGTCGAGGTCTTGCACCTTAAGTACGACCAGTTAAGCTGTGGCCCATGTCCCTGACAGATACAGCCCTTCCCCAGGCTGTCTCCTGCTGGAGTTTCATGGACTTATAGAAACCTCCTCAGTCCCCACAAGGAAACTCTGAACAGCACTGAGTCACCCAGGCAGAGTGATCACAACAGGGAATAAAGTACCAGCTTCTCTTTTCCCATTGCAATGACTTCTCACTTCTGTAACAACAGCTTCTCCTCACCCCGGGTAAGTGGCTTCCTCCTTCTCTGGGGATGTCCTGCATGGAAGGCAGGGAAGACTGGTTCTTGGCCATTTATCGTCTGTAACTGGAGTTGGCTTTTCGGTTCAGTACTGGGGTAAGAAAGGAATACCAAGGATCTGGAAAGGTGTTTAATGTGACCTAACACTACCTGGGCTGTGAAGAAGCTGAGGTCCTCTGAGTGCTTCTTATACTCAGCCTACCAAGTCAGAGTTTTCACATCTGATCTCCTAGTCCTGCTGAAAAGCTGGCAATGGGGCAACACGGATTCAGACTGGGAGCGTTATGGTGTCTGTGTGTTCAGCAGTTACTGGGATAACACAGTTAACAGGGTGAGACCAGCCAGCCAGCCAGCCAGCCAGCTCCCTGTGGCCTTTAAAACCTCAGACCTGCATCTGCCCTTTTGCTAAATAAATGCACTTAATGAGCACACAAAGAATGAGAGAATTTCCTGGCATTGATGAGGGTTTCTGTTTATGATGCTGCTCTGGGAATTAGCAAATCCAGGTCCCTAATATGATAGAAAACCTGTCAGCTGCCTTCCTGCTGCTATGGATGTCCCCAGCTTTCAGGTAAACCAAAGAGGGAAGGAAAAGGAGGAAAAAAACCTTGAAGAGTTGGAAAATAGATCTGTGTTACCGCTATTAGGAGATATTGCCCCTGGAAACGTGTCCTGGTATGGCATGGGGGACTCGAGGCAGTAGTTGCTGAGGAGAAGGCTCCTGAAGCCTGCTAGCATCCAGGTATGATGCTGCCTCCTGGTACCTGTCCAGAGGCAGCTGCAATGAGTAGAATAGTTTGGTTTGCCTCCATGTATGCTCAAGCAAATCCCACCTTTAGAACAAATGACCTGGAGTAGCTGCTTGAACCCTGCTGGTGCCAGATCCTTTCAGGCATCCCTGCTCAGGGCTGAGCCCCACCAACCTCTGGGCTGTCCCAGCAGCTGCTGCTGTCCTCACAGCCTGGCAAAGCACACGTATCTGCTGATGTCTGCACAGACTGAGGGAGGTTTACAGGTATGGAGAAGAGTGGTGAGGATACAGGGAAAAAAGAAGCTGCTGAAGGAGGGGATGCTCATACAGCCTGTTGGAGCTGTATAAGCCCCACGGAGGAGAGGCAATTTAAACTACAGAACAAGAATAAACTGATTAAGTATAAATTCTAGTTGCAAATGAGGAGATTCCTTGATATATAAGGTCAGGTCTTTACAGACTCCCCTAGGGAGGAAGGGAAAAGCCACTGCTTTTGGGTTTAATAAGCTGGTGGGGATCAGAGGAAGAGGACTTGGCAACAGAGGAGGTTCCTTCAATCCCTTTCTTGCTACATTCCTTATTCTGCCCCTTCCCTCAACACTCCACTAGTGGCTTTCACCATTTAATTATGTTATTAATTAACATGGTACAAATGAAAGCAGATGCACTGCTTTGGCTGCTTTGCTGGCCCTGCCATGCTCTTCTGTACACCCTGGAAAGGTAATAGGTTTATGTGTCTGAAAAACATTTCTGGTAAATAAAGGAAAATAATATTCAGGTTAATCCCAGGATCTAAGATGCTCTTTAGACTGTGAAGTGGTTATGCTGCAGGAGAGTGAGTTTGAAGGATTGTGCAAGGGGAAGGAATGTTCAAGAGACGGGAAGATTGATGTAACTGCAAATGGACAAATGCAGCACATGTCAGGGGAAATACAGGCTATAAAACTCATACACAGTTTTTGAGTATTTTCTGGGCTGCTGTGGCTGGCACCTTAGTGCAACAGTTGTCAATACCTTGTACTTCAGAGGCTGGTGAGAAGCACTGGTCCAGGAAGGATGGGCAGAAGATGCAGCACTAACACAAGCACAAGCTGCAGAGCTACATCCTGGTGAGTAAAGCTGTCACTGAATCACTGAGTGAGAAAAGCCCTGTTCTGCAGAAGGCTCCAATGACCCAGACAAGTTGAATATACCAGCTGGCATGCCCTGGGCTTCAAGACAGCTATAAACCACAACAAGAATAACCCTCTGCTGTGTGTTGCCCTAGGCCAGTTTTGGGCTAAATGTCTGATCCAAGTTCCCTATCTTTTCCTTTCAATAAAGCCGCACTGTGAAAAGCATCACGCTAGCTTGTCCTCACCAGCCACTTGCATTTGCTGTTAATTCTCTGGAAGAAATGCTCCCTCTTGCCTCACCCAGGCTGGGATCCCTGCATAGAGAAATGGCTTTCTCCTGTGCATTTGTTATACGCAGCTGCGTGAAACCCTCAGCCCATTCAATTAAAGAACCCGTCTTCCCATTAACTGTCTCCTTAGACAAATGTGAAGTGTATTTAATGTTCACTCAGGATGAAGCCAGTATGTTTCTCCTGCTGTTTTACACTTTCTTCTTAGTAGGGATTTGTCGTCTCTGACTGCTCAAATACCTTGAATCTCCCCAGCATTTACGATCAGGAAAAGGTAACAAGTGTGGTGACAAAGAGTGAGTGCCAGATGAGACGGGGAAAATGGATTGCTTTAATAGATGTTACTGAGGCCCTTTTGCACCCTGCCTGATGCTGAGCAGCCACCCCATCCATCACGTTCACTCAAGCTGAGTAGCAGCACACCATCCACGCTTTAACAGACCCCTTCTCCCTTCTTCCTATTAGGGAAAGTGCTGGCCTGGATCCCAAGCCATTCCTGATAGTCTGAGAAGATGCAGTTTAGAAAGGGTAAAATAAGCAACAGATCGTCTACATCAGCTTGATGTTTTTTATTAACATGCCCTGAAAATCATCTTCTTCCTGCCACTGGTACCTTGCTGCACATTAATCTAATAACTGATAAAGTGTTCTCTGAGCCTTTATTTTCCTTTTTCTCCACTTGTTTCTTCAGCACTGTTCTTCCTATGAATCAAGCAGCTGAGAAAATGGATGCAGATTCTCATCTGTATGAAAATACTTTGCCCAAAATACGAATCTTGCATTGGGCTGCTGTATTAATCCTTCTCTCCTGAACAACAATAATCATTCTGGCATTTTTCAGGCTGCAATTCACCACTTCTGCATTTGCCACTTGCTGCCTTACTGTAAGTTGGGGCAAAAAATGGGGCAAGGGAAGGGAGGTAAAAGGAGGACAGAGCTCCTCTGGGCCGAATCCTGGGCATCCCTATTTCAAGATGTACATTGAGGTACTTCACATCAAGCAAAAGCAGCCTTAAGGCTCCACATCAGCTCTGGCTCCAGATTTCTCACCTTGCTCCTGAGCCAGACTTGTCTGAAGAGCAGAGATGACAGCATGCTTGTGTGGGACCAGGCTGCCTCAGTGGGGCTGACCAGGCTTGATGGGACCAGCCTGGTTCTTCATCCTAAGAAGCACAAAAGAATCCTCTGGGTGTAAAGGAGCAGCTTTGCTCTTGGCCAGGACAGAGGCTCCTGGGTGTTTTGCGTTAGCAGTGACTAAACAGCAAGTGAAGAGCAAGTAGCTGGCGTGATGTGATGTGAAGAGCTCCAGTCTCTGCCCCGTGCTGGCCTGAAGGCAGCAGTTCTGCCCCTGGAGCTCTGCAAGCATGAGGACCTTTTGCTGCACCACCATTCCTCCTGCAAACCGCCTTTGCTGAAGTGGGGGCTGAGGTGGCTTTGAGCTGATACAAGAGGAGCCCTGAGAGCACTTGGTTGCTTTGTGCTCTGAGATCAGGTCCCAGCTCTTCAGTAAAATCAGTCCTGATTTATCCCTGTGGATAAATATCTTCAGTTCAGAAGGACTCCATCACTGTCGAGAGTGAGGCACTTCCCCAACAAGTGACAATAAAAACCTTTATAGCACTTGCTCAGCATGACAAATCCTCTTCATCCTCTTTCAGTGGTGGCTTTATTGCCTCTTCCCCGTGGGGGCTGTACTAGTCAGCCCAATCACACTGTTGGGGTTGTGGATGAAGTGTTGATGCCTCTGTCCTGGGCTGTGGCCGCCAGGCATGTCTCTGGTGTGTTATGCAGTTCCAGCACAAGCACTGCTCTTTCCCAGTCCCTGTCGGTCCATAGATCCAGGTATTGTGAAGTTTTGGCTCTAAGCAATTCTGTTCTGAACTGAAATGAAATGAACCTGATAACAGTCAAGAGCGTGCGTTAAGGATGGACCATTTTTTTCCTAAGGTTTCAGCTAGAGATACTAAATTCCTGCTCTGTTCTCCATGGATGTTCCTAGCTGGAATTGCACCCTACTGATCTCAGCAGAAAAGGGAATTAGAGCTACTGCTCATGCCAGGATGAGGGGGTGTTAACCCTTTTTGTACCCCCAGTATGTAAAGCATCTGTAGATGCTTTGTCCCTCAAGAGGAAATTTCTGGTTAGTGCTACCATTGTCATAAACTTGCAGGAACACCAGGAAGACCCATAACAATGTCAGCAGCTGAAAACCTCCATGCGTTACCCTGGAGTTCTCCTGTCTCCTACAGTACCATGTCTCTCATGGTATCTGGCCTTGAAAGCAAGCTCAGCTGATGGATCTGATAACCCACAGAGGGGAGGAAGAGGTGAAAGAGTTCTTGAAGCCTGGATATTAACAGGTTCATCTCTCTTTGTTTCAGGCATATGGCTCATGGGGAGAACATCTGCACTTGGAGACTTGGAGCTATGTTGCAATGGCTTGGAGTAATTACTGATGGGATTAGCAAGAACATAATTAAAAAGAAGCATCTGAGGGACAGCAAAGCTGAGTGACATCCAGGTGAAGAGGTTTTGAATACCTGGGATTGCCAATACTATGAACACAGGCATGGGGGTTTGCCTGGCCCCACATTTGAAGGCTAGCCAACATCACTGCTGTTGGATCAGGCAAGGTTGAGATCTTAAGAGGGAATGGGGAATGGGATGTGGTAGAACTGCCTTCTGCAGACCCTCACATCAGGAGTAGGGGCAGCAGCTTTTGCAAAGTCCCTGTTCTTCATCCCTGTGACCTCAGCAAGGTCAAAGCAAGGGGTTTGCTTTGGAGCTGAGGAGGAGGAACAGATTTCCCTGAGGAGATGTGGTGGGTGGCAGCAGTGCCTGCACTTCCAGCACACAGGAACTGGAGCACCCTCCACCCTCACACCAGCAGTGGGCTGGAGGGAAGGAGCAATCAAGCTGAGCACTGGCCTGTCACCAGCCTGCTTTCACCCCTGACGCTTTAATCTCTTCTGCTTGACGACATCTAAGCGAGCTCTACCAGCCTCATCCTTCTTTTTCCTGTGTTTGTTTCTCCATCTTTCCCCTGCGCACAATGGGAAAAACTGGGATTTCCCTTGCACCGGGGCTCACTTGGACTGGAATCTTTGAGCAACAGCAGATGCTCAGTGATTCCACCCCCCTCCCCATTCTGCCTGCAGCAGGACCCCAGCCCCAGGCAGGACTGGCAGGGTAAGGGATTATTTTGCCTGCTGTAGCCCTGCTGCTTTTTTGCAACAGTCCCAGCTTTCCCTCTCCAGAAACAAGCTCCAGGTCTTCCCTGACCTCATCATTCTTTCCTACTGGCTTTCTGGTTTTTGTTTTCCTTTGCCTGCTGGCTTAGTGTCTGAAGTTGTTGTTTGTGATATCCCAGTACTCAAGGTTTACTAAGATTACTAAGAGCATCTCTGGAGGTTTTGATACACTTCTTCATTGCAGATAAAGTTAAATTCTTCTACCTGCAAATATCTATGTGTATCATGAAATAACTGTGGTTAGATACCAGGTTACACAGCATCAATGCACAGGGTTTCCCTGACCAGTTTTTGCAATGCTTTAAGAAAGTTTGGAACTCGATGAAATCAGTGGCTGTGGTGTAGGATATGCCAGCTCCCACAAGGAATTCCCACTTGAACCAACATTTATTAGCATGACCAAACCCACCAGCAGCATGTTGCAAAATGTACTGTTAGCAGTGGTAGTAGACAAAAAACCACCAACACTAGGTTAGTCCAAGAGTAGACAGGGACCACTTAACACTACTTTTGGTTAGATTGCCGTCTTTGAATTGATTATGGAAAATCACAGATGCTCCTGAATCAAGAGGCAGAACTGACATCACTTATTCCTGACCTCAACACAACACTTTTCCATCAAAGCATCAGCCTGTTTCTTTGTTGGTTCATTTGCTTTTAATGTGGTTTGGAGTCACAGGGCCGCCAGGGAAAGCTCAGGGAATAATTTGCTGCCACTGAGGTTTTATGTTCACCTACTGAATACATTAACATCTCAATCATTTCTTCACTCATAGTTTGTAAACATACCAAGCTTCTTAATATTACTGGCTAATTAACTCTTGTTTCCATGCTGTGTAGAGCAGGCAGCTCTTTCTCCTTCTTACAGCCAGCAAGGATGTCTTTCCACATCTTTCAGCTGTGCTATCAAGAAATATTTTCCTAGGAAAAGCTGGGAGTTGAAATTAGAAATTGCCTGCCTGAAGCACACACCGATATCCTGCTGCTGCTTGCAACCCGCCAGGGCAAAGAGGAGAGAACTACAGCCCAGGCATTGAGAAATCACTGTCAGATGCCTGTCGCTCCACGGTTATTTGCTGCAAGCCAGGCTAACTAGTCACTGTCAAGTTAGGGAAGATATTTCTTGAAGGCTTGATTTAATAGAAACACAATTTGTCTCGTGGGTCAGCAAAATAGGTTGAGGATGACCTACAATTTTGTGTCCAGAGAGAACTTTGAGACTTGTCCAGGATGCCCAGTTTCACTTTTCATGTAGAATACAAACAACTGGCAGATGCCAGCAGCCACCGACACTGCTCGTTGTGTAATGTCCAGGGTGTGACAAAAGTATGTTTGTATGCTGCATGGTGTGTCCATGCACCAGAGCATCTGTTCACAACGCCAGTCAGTGTTCAAAGACAATTTTTGGGTAGTATGTGGTGAAATGCAATGTGTAAAACAAGTCTGACTCGCTATCTCGGATAATCTCCTGGTAGGTTAAGAGCCATGTAAGTAATGTTCATTTAGAGACAGGGAATAGTTGTGGTTATGAAAACAAGAGCTACCAGCCCTGTCTGTACAGTGGATTCTTTTACTTGTTGGAAGGAATATGAAATCTCTCATGATTTTTGCAAGATCTAGAGTTCCTTATGGGTAACTGCCATGGCTGCCTACGACATATTATCCCATGGGACTTCCTGCAGTTTCAAACCCACCGAATGGTCCTCTCTCGATCATGAATAACACCCCATATCATCACCTTTCCTGCAAGTTGAAGGCTGAGAAAGACCCCTGCAATCAGGTCTGTTGAAATGTTTTAAAATATCTGATTAAATAGGTGGTTAAATGGTTTAATAGAATCATAGATACTTAGGGTTGGAAAGGACCTTAAGATCATCAAGTTCCAACCCCCCTGCCATGGGCAGGGACACCTCACAGTAGGTAGTTAAATGAATGGTTAACAGTTAATAAATAATTAATAGATGGTCTCAAATAGTTCTTTGCAATTAAGGCCATTAAAAACTCATCATGTTACAAAAAAAAGCAGATATTTTTGTGTAGAAAATATTGAAATACAGTATTTTTGTCATTTCACAATATACTGCAGTAAATGTGATTGAAAACACTAATTGAAAATGTCATAGAATTACAGAACAGGTTTGGGTTGGAAGTGACCATAAAGATCATTCAGTTCCACCCCTCCTACTTCTTTCCCTTGAATGATTTTTGTTTCAGTAACTGGTATTTACTCAGTGGAAAAGATTGATAGAAAACCCTCAGACAGATCTCTGCTAGAAAATGGCAAACAAAAATTTATTTACTGTTTTTATCAATAAATTCTCCATTATTTGGGTTTTGAATATAGCCCATATACACATACAGAAGTGTGTGTGTATGTACAGACCTCAGGTAACAGAGTAGATGTAACAGAGTATACAGGTAACTATATTGGAAGGTTGCTCATCTGGTCAGGAATCTTTCACACCCGATATTAAAAAATCAAACTAAAATGTACAGAGGAGAAGCCTGAAATTGCCAAGGATTTGGTCTTAAGAGCTCTAACGTGGGGTTTAAGGATTTCATACTGTGGTTTCTGGGTTGAATCGGGAAGAAGAGTTTAGATCTTTTAAGTTTTGGGTGTCTAATGATGTTTGGTCACCAGTAGAACACTGGCTATTGCAGAATGCCACTTTGCTTGATTTTCTCCAGGCTTAAAAGGAGTTAGAGAAACCCAGAAAGTTTCTTTTTAGAAAACAGAAATTACTGGATATAGAAATGCAAGTTTTGATGTATTTTTCTTCTTTCAACCTCATTGATTTGCGAAACCCTTCCACCTTTTTCAAGTGGTCAAACATAAGCATTAATATTTTATTCTGAACTTTTAAAAATAAAAATAAACATCAGATTAGTCCAAATGTTGTGGGGTTTTTTTGTCAGATTTTTCATTTTCTGAACGAACAGACCCAACAGATTTCTTAGGAAATCAGTTAAACTCACACAGCCCTTGCGATGTCTGAGAAGCACAAGAAGACCATGTGAAACAAAGCCCATGAAGTGAAATCCAAGGAGGAAGAGTAAAATGAAGTTTAAAAATGACATTCCTTTTCCTCTTTCAATTCACTCAGTCACATGA